AAAATTTTTTTTTTTTTTTTTTTTAATTGGTTAGAGGTGAAATTGTTCAAATTTTCCCCGCATTTAACAGTAAGTATGATTCATAAAAATTGTGATAAACTTCAAATACTACAATACTACAAAATGATATATGTTTTTTTTTTTTTACAAGATCGCATGGAAAAGAGGGTGAAAGACAAACAACGAAAACTTTCCTCAGAATGCGACACGATGATCCAACAGATATCCGAGTTTGCCCATGAACTTGTATCAAGGCAAAAGCAAGAAATGTGACTAATTGCACATTAACGTTAATTTGATGTTTTTCTTTATTTGAGTCTGTACAACAACTTGAATTGACTTTTACAATTAGTGATGCCAGAATTAATGAATATAAACGCAAATATGAAGAATTGGATGAAGAGAAGCTCACTATTGTCAAAAAGTTAAGATCTGAGGAAGCAAAATACTTGGTGACTTTTTAGATGATTCTATTTCTTAATTAGTCAATTTTTAGTTTACTTATGATTTTGCATAAAAATAGCAATTACATGATTCGATTATTTGTGAACTTGATAAAATTGAAATCGCTCAAATGGAAACAAATCAGGAATTTGAACAAAAATACTTGTCGTTTATTGACGGTAACGCAAAATTTTCATTTGTGCTTTTTTGGTTTGATTTTAAATTAATTTAATGAATGATCACCACAGATACTAATAGCCAATTGCAAAGTCTAATAATCCGAAAAACTATTATGGACAATCAATCTAGAGATGTGAACTAACGTTATTGCTATATATCACTTTCTCTGAACTAACTAATATCTTATTGGTATGTATTATCATAACTAATTTGTTAAAAAGGTTGCCGTTCTTAAAACACTGTAAAGTATATGCAAAAAAAAACTTCTGCTATTGTTGTACCGTACTCTGATCTTCTCCTTGTAAGGCTTTTTCATAATTGCCGCCATTGCTATAGTATTATTTATAAATTTTATTTTTAGCAAATTTTTTATCCGATCTTGTGAACTGTCGAGAGTAAATCTCCAAAATATGTATCTTGCATGGCGATCAATGTCTGGGCATCGTGTAACATACTTTGTAATTTCAGTCAACTTACGATATAACGATAACGGATACCCTTACATAAGATTCTCGGACAATATCGAATTTTTAATAGCGATAAGAAATTTAAACAATTCAATACGTAGCAATATTTAAAGAGGCTATATTATGTTGATTTTTATAATTGAATTATTAACTTAATATAATGCAACCAATCAGAATGCAGTTTTATAACTATAACGAAGTATTCGCCAAGCTTATTCTATTTATACTATAGTTATAATTAATATGCTGTATACCGAAAATTTTAGGCTGTCCAGATTTTTTAAAAAGCACCTGCGTAACCAACTATCGAGCTAAGATAGTAGTTATGTAGCCAATTACACGGTAAAATATGTTAATTTTACTATTTATTATTTATAGAAAGAACTGTATTTGTATTTATAAGTTAACTGTATTTGTATTTATAAGTTAACTTTATTGTACTAATAGATTAGTTAAAATTAAATATTACTGTTTTTCTAAAAATAAGCCCTTCTGACTCGAAATTGTAGTTAGCATTATACGCAACAAAAAAAAAAGATGCTTATTTTCAAAAAAATATAATACTATTAGTCACAAGACATGTTCTAATAGTTGCTATTACTTATAAGTCAAATGAGTTGACACACTAAATTTTATATGTAAATTTTTACTAAAATTTAATTTATTCAAGAAAATACATATAAATCTTTCTTGAAACTTTAAATATATATTCTTTGTCATTTTATAA